GCCGCCAACAGCCTATCCTTGGAAGGCTCTGACACCCGCCTCCTGACATGGCTCGACCCACTTCAATCTCCTCCGGCTCCTGCAAAGCTGGGAGGAATCAGGAAACTTGGTTGCTGTCGACCCCTGCAAAAAGTTTAACTCTTGGGGGTTTAGTGGAAAACCCCTTGATTTCCCCAAAAGTCTAAAGATCCAACCCAATAGCAGTCAAGGACAGGCGTCCAGGATCGAAAGATGGATTCAACAGCCGCGCCGGTGGCGTTCAAGTGCCCGACGGGCGGACTTCGGTCCTGGGGCTCCGGAGTCAAGACAGCCTTCTTGATGAACGTCTGCCACTGGACGGCTGTGCTAGACTCTGCTTGCTCCACTTGCCGTCTGCGCCTCGCAAGTTGAAAAGAACTGTCAACACCAACTGCATATGCACGCTGCGTATCCACGCGCAACAATGTGCTGCCGAAACGGCGACAACAAGCCAAATGTGAAAATTGCTGGCCCCGGCTTGGCATGACAGCCAAGTCTCTCCATGAAGGCTTGTGCTGAGGAAGCCAGCGAACAAGCCCCGGCCGAAGGTGATGAAGGTGACGAAGGTGACGATGGTGACGGAGAAGCCGCCGGCGGCGACAGCAGCGAAAGGTTGTCCTTGTGCGGCCCTACCATGCGATTTGGCTCCCAATAGATTGAGCAAGTGAACAAGCCACAAACTACGGTACAAGTCTAAGGCCATCTGGTCCCAAGCTCCAACTCACTTAATGTCAACTTCGGCTTGATCCGGAGGACTGTGCGAACAAGTTGTGATTCACCTTTTAACGAGAAATCAGACATCAACACGGGGTCATCAACCGGATGAGGCGGGACAAAGCTGCGCTGGGCCCTGGCCTCCACCACAATCCCCTCAAAGGGCAAGCGCGTGCGTGCTGTCCTCAGCTTCAAGCAAGACCAAACATTTCTGCCAGCCCACGTGGCAAACGCATGCAAGCAATCCCTGAGATCCGCCCCCTTTCACAACACAAATCACGTGATCGAACACGGAACTTGGAAGTGAACCTCGCATAGAAGCACTTGCATCGGAGTGCAAGTGCTACATTCTTCTGAAAAACTTTGCGGATTTGCGCGGATTGGGTGGGGCATTCTCCACCACTATCCAGGGGATGTTGGGCGGGCTCCGCAATCAAGGCGTGAGTGAAGGATAGGGCCTACAACGCATCTTCACCATACTACTGCCTCAAGAGAACCACATCGCCAAGACCAGCAAATAGACATGTGCAACAGCCGCAGGTTGCGATGCAAGCACCAGAACGCAAATCAGCGTTGCTTTATGGCACATGTAATCGCAAGCAACCCGTGAAGACACCACCCCCCCGCCATGCATCTCACATTGTGCACAATGTCCGCACATTTTGGATACACTGTCCGATTCGCGCGCTCAGAATGGCCCTCGCACGGTTCAAACTGAACGAGGCCTGCATTAACAACTCAAGCTGCTAGAGCCAAGGAAAAATGTTTTCTTGTGGGTCTCCAAGCCCCACCCCTGAAAATACAAAGCTGTGGCGCATAACCGACACTCGCCCCGCAGTACAACCCCCATTCTGCCTCAATGATTGCACAAGTATGTCACTTGACCCTCCCACCGCTCGGACCACTTGAAGAATGACCTGCGAGATTCAGGGGAGGCATTGAAATGATCAGCATTTCCTCGCACCCCCCGAGAACAAAGAATGGGAGTGGCAACTGCCAAACATATGGCCAACTGACCTGCCATTGAACCAAGCCTAACTATACCAAGCCACGCCAAGCTATACCGACACGAAACAAAACCAACTCCAAGCCCTAAGCTAAGACAAACCACACTAGACCCCGACATCCGCAAACCATCCTGTTCCCCTGCTGTCTTCCACCCAGCCGCTGCGGTTGTGGTGGCACCCCCTCGTCTCCCTGAGGCTGGCCAGGCCTCAGGCACTGCTTGTAATCACTCCAGCCGACCACACGATAGGGTCTAGAGCTGGCTGTTTTCGCACAGCCCCCTAACTCATCAGGGATCAAGATTGACTTCCTGCCTTGAATTGTGGGCACGACGTGAAAATCCTTGATCACAGCATGCATGTTGCACTTTGAACGCCTTCCACGGGTTCGATCTATCTGCCCATGTGTCTGTCATTCAGCTCCTGCTGCTTTCGCTCATGCTGCGCCAGTGTTTAAGTATTGCGCGTTTGTGTGTGTGCACGAATTTCTGTGTGCAGCCTTCGCCCGACCGCCCTGTTCAAATGCGTTCCTGTTTGGAGCAGGTTTCATCTTTCTGCGTTGCCCCGATCGATCACAAAATGAAAGGCCTATTCATCTGGGGCCGAGCGGAGCGCCGCTTTCACGGCTCTGCCACTTTTGCAGCTCTTTCTGGGGCTGCGTGTTGCCAGGAGGCTGAGACGGCAGCGGGGCGCTAGCCGCCTTGGGGGACCTTGGCCAACATCTGCGGCTTCACGCTTGGTAAAGTGGCAGCCAAACAGGCTTTCCATTGTGGCCCGGCGGCAACAAAGTTGAATTCTGTTGAATTATTGCTTTTGGTGATGCTCGTGCCAAGCGTCTGGGCGGCCGGCAAGCCCTCATCATAGCAGGGAAACGGCTCCTGAACAAGGCCAAGGGCCAAATTGAAGTGCAAACGCGCAACGACACAGCATGTCATGCATTTCAGATGTTCGGCCCGCCAATCCAATTTGAACCCCTCCCATCATCTCCCAGGGGCATTTTTGCGGGCCCCAGGCAAGAAGAGCCACCCTTGAGCCCATGCCTCCAGCTGCCGCACTGAGGGCGCGGTGCCTGGCGACGATCCTGCGCTGAACATCAGAGAGACCGATGGGAGTTTTGGCGGTGGCATTACAGCTCCCGTTTACACCGTCAGAATGAACTCAACAAAAGCCAAAAGCTGGGCCAAGGCCCCCTATGCCGTAAACCATCTCAATGTACATAAGCGTGTGGGATGCTGCAAGGTCTCATTTCATTTTCTCTGGCTGTCCTGCCCTGACCCTGGCGGAGTAGATGTCCTCACATTGCAGCAGTTTGCCCATGCGTCCATCAAAGCTCCACAACAAGCAAACCCACCTTTCCACCTCTCAAAGGCCTTCTAACAAATGCCATGGCTTTTGAATTGCTGCAAGGTCTCGGTTTGCTCGAGCAGCAAGTCCGTTGCGGCCCATACAGGCTTGCATCGCAATCTTGATTGCACCGACAGCTTCGTCATGGGCAACCTGTTGGCCGTGCATCGGCGCACGCGCAAGCGCGCACGCACGCACGCACGCACGCGCGCACGCACGCGCACGCGCTCCCGCACACCACACGCACACGCACATCGCACATCGCACATCGCACACCCACCCACACACACAAGCACACACAAGCACACACAGACACAGACACAGACACAGACACAGACACAGACACAGACACAGACACAGACACAGACACAGACACAGACACAGACACAGACACAGACACAGACACAGACACAGACACAGACACAGACACAGACACAGACACAGACACAGATACAGAAGCACGCACGCCCACACGCCCGCACGCCCGCACACATGCCCGCACAAATGCCCGCACGCCCGCCCACCCACCCGCCCGCCCACCCGCCCGCCCGCCCACCCACGCATGCACGCGGGGGACCCACCCGCGAAAACAAGCCTGCAAAACGTGTTTTCCTTCTTGGTGTCCCTTTAAACCAAACTGAAAAGGGCACCCTCAAAAATGTGCAAACCCACATTCATACTTGATTCATGCTCTAAAATGCGCTGCCCCGGGTGCTGCACAAACAGATTCCATCCACAACATGCCAACATGCACATGTTGACGCCGTAGGTTCCTTCCCACCACTGGCCACCGAACGAAACCCTCCTTCAAGCCTCCATCTGCGCCATGGGCCATCTGCTGTGCAGGCCCTCGGCCCGGGCATTGGTGGGATTGATCAAAACCTCTCCCAAAGCCCAAAGCTTCCTTGTAAACAAAGCCAGCCCACTTTTGTGGCCAGCCGCTTAAAGAGCTCATTGGGCCCCCTTGCAGCCCCAAAAGCTGCTGCGCGGCAACCTCGCCTCGGGCTCAAGGGACACGGGCTTGCCGGGCTGGAGGAGGTGAGTGGTCTCCGCGGCCCCTTCGGCAGGCTGATGGTGGGAAGCATGTATCGGCCTCATGGCAAGACGGGAGTGTATTGATCCGATCATTTCCAGATGCGTTGCCTGCCACCTTGGGCTGGCAGCCTGGCCCGGCTAGGCTCCCTGCCGGATTTTGGACTCCGCCCACCTGGTAAGTGCCAAAATTGCCAAAGCTCTGCAAGATTTGCCCCCGCGCCCTTTCCAACCCTTCGAAGACCTGGCCCATGGTGGTGGAAAATTGCACTTTCTGTGACACGTTGATCCCCGAGACTCCATGGGAAGCTTCCAGAAAGGCAGCTTCAAGCTCCGAGCCTTTTTCTGGAGAGAAGCGCGGCGAGCGCGGGCTGTCGAGGGGCGACATGGCGGTCGTCCAGCGGAATGCCCAAGTTTGCCGGCCTCCACTGCATTACATAATGCGTCCGCCCTGATTACTCATCATAGTATGTGTATTCTATATATATATATATATAGAATATATATATATATATGTGTGTGTGTGTGACATTATACGTGTATGTGTGTGTGTGAATGTGTTATGGAGTATTGGCCTGGGAGACCTTCTCCCCAATTTTTTGTACTCACTTCGCAGGTTGAGTTCAGGTGCTGGGGGTGCTGGGGTGCTGGGGTGCTGGGCTGAGGGGTTTAGAGCGGGAATGATATGCTTCTCTCTGCGGGTCTGGCTAGGCTTCACGGCACCGCCCAAACTCCCTCCGGGAGACCTGGGGAGTGGGCCGAGAAGCTCGCGGCAGGAATGCGGAACAATATCCCATGCCTACAACACAAAGTCCGATGAAAAGACGAAAGAAACTTTTCATCCACGCGGCCTGGCGACAAGAGTCACCTGATTGCAACGAGCCGCGCCTGCGACTGCCAGGGCAAACAACTCGCGGGCTTCCTCGGCGAGGGGAGGACGGGCTCATGCCCCTGCAAGGCTCTTGGGCCGATAGCATCCAATGGCCTATTGCCCAGCCCGTGCAGTAGACACACGGAAAACAAATCGGACCGGTGACCGGCCTGCTCTTGTCGGCCTTGCAGCTTGCAAGGCGAGCCGGACTTCATGAAAGTCATGTGTTTCTTTTGGTGATCGCCTTTTGGAAATCTGCATCGCCCCTACGCTTGCACGCGCAGGCATCGCACTTACTTACGCACCCACCCATCCACCCACCCAGCCATGCATGCACACAGGCACGTCACGCACGCAGCCAGGCACGTAGCGTGCACAAACGCACACAAAAGAAAGCGGTGCAATCTTCAGTCTCACTTCCTCCCTCTCATTCTCTCATTCTTTCTCATTCTTTCTCATTATTTCTCTTCTTTCTCATTCTTTCTCATTCTTTCTCATTCTTTCTCATTCTCTCTCCCTCTCTCTCTCTCTCTCATGCATGAGCGTTTCATATCCGCTGAAGGTTCAGGTCACGCTTTGCCCGCCTTATCCGGGGGCATTACATCCTTGCCTCCTTCCTGCCTGTACAAAAAAAGGCACGCCCTTGGAAAAGCAGCGCCTGATCTCATGCCTTCCTGCGGATCCCCTGTAAACTGGCCATGGCAAGTAGGCAACCTGAAATTGTGCGAGTGCATGCGCGTTCTTAAGAACAGGATCCTCTTTTTCCGCTGCGTCTGTGCCTTGCCTTTAAGTGGATCTGCAGCCGTGAAAAAGGCCGAGACAATGTTTGTCTTTCAAAGCGGCGGCCGAAAGCAAAGCTGGGCAACATCGTTTCACCCTGGGAAAGCAAGTTGTCAATGCCCCCCGCCCAGCGTGTTCCAGCAGCCGAAAGGATCTAACATGCAGCTACCAGACACTTCTGGTGGAAAGCACAACTGAGTCAGCACAAGGCCTATCATCAATATCCACAGCACATTTCCGAGTCATAGCTTCATACGCTTTCAGAGTTGTTCCTTGTCCACCTTTGCGAAAGCGTGGGCACAAGGCGCAAGTGCTAAAACCGCTCCGGGCAAACTTGACCAGGAGGCAAGTGGTAATGAATGTATCCAGGTAACCGGTCCAGGTATGTTTTCGCTGCAACATTGTAAAATCAAATGCCTCCTCAATCGGGTCCAAGACTTGGCCAATCACTGACACCTGGGTGAAACGAGCGTGGAGAAGCGATTAAAGTGTCTTTGGCCGAACGTGGGGCGCGTGAGCTTGCGCACTGCCCCCGGATCTTGTGCGGCCGACCTAAGACTCAGGTGATGGAGCACGCGCAGGAGCTCTTCGCAGGAGCATCCGTCTGCCTTACCCAGGTGGCAGGCCGCAAAATCAGACAGCCATAAGAAAAATGATCCGTTTGTGCCGCTAGCTGGCCAAAAGCAATTGATCCGTTCAAGCAGAAGTTGCTGAAAGATCAACTCACCCGAGCTTCTCTTCACAAGGGAGCCCACGTTTCATGTGGTTGGCTGAATCGGGCTTCGCTGGGTGCACGGCCACTGGTCAAACTGCACCACGATGAGGGTCATGTTGTCCTTGCTCGAGCCGAAAAAAGGTTCGGCTTGGCTTGTTCCCTGGAGAGAGATGAGTATGGACGACGACCGGGTCCAAGCTTTTCTAACCACCACCCACAACAAGGCCTTTCACGTAGAAGTGCTTGTTGCTGGCTGGGGAATCAACGGAGGGGCGACTGTTGGCTTCAAGTCGTCTACCTCACCTCTGCTTTGCTGATTTACAGGCCAGACGTGTCCCGTGGCAATCGAGCCACGAAAAAGACAACCCTCAAAAAGGTCTTCTACATGTTTGAAGTCTGTTTCCCACAACGGGGAGCAGACTTACCAACCCCCGCCCATTTCCAACTTTACCTCACGTGATACAGGCTCGTAGCAGTTCTAATTCAACACAAATGCAATTGAGTGGAAAGCGCCTGTCGGCTCCAGGCTGGGAAACAATCGCCTCATGCGCTGTTCAGCAACGGCCCTGAATGTCGGAGCTGATGGGCATTGCTTGTTGGTGCTGCCTCTGCTGAAACCAGTCATGTCGCTCACGGTTGCTTCCGCCGTTTCATATGCTCGTTGGCCTGGACACCAGCTGGTTTCAAAGCCGTGCTTGTCATCTGTGTGCCCCCCAAACAGGTTTCTCAGCCTGGACACGAAAAACACTTGCAACATGCCCATGCCCTTTCAGGGTCGGCCGCAGGCACAGACACAGACACAGACACAGACACAGACACAGACACAGACACAGACACAGACACAGACACAGACACAGACACAGACACAGACACAGACACACACACACACACACACAGAGAGAGAGAGACACGCACACACACACACAGTGTGCACATACGTATTGGCACATTGCACTACATGCTTCGGCTGGCCAAGGTGGTGTGCAGAGTGGCTTCAAGAGTCACACCTCCCTTTCCACGCTCTGGACTTTGAAGCCCCTTTCCGGGCCGAGATTCCGCTCCGAGGCCCATGGACTTGCGGGGGTCGGAGGTGCAGCAGGCCTGGCGTTGGATGCATAGAAGCCGTGTGTGGCCATCTTTTGCTTTCTTTTGTTCAAGGTTGTTGTTGGGAACCGCAATGGCATCACAAATTCTTGAGAAAAACATGTGGTTTTCCTCGCGGCTTTCCTTCGCACCTGCAGAAAGGGAGGCCCCCGGGCGACAAGCCTTTCGACAGTGAAATCAAGCATTTTTGGGGGACCCTTTGCTGACTGGGCATTTGCCCGGCAACGCATGCGGGGTCCACCACCACGCACCTGTGCAACAAACAGGCCAGCAGTGTAAAAGGCATGACGTGACATCTGTTGACGCACCGACGGCAGAAGTGAACCGCAAGGTGCACCGCTGGTTTTTGTGTCATCGCCTGCACAAAAAATGTGTGTTTTGAGTGCTCGCGTTAAAACAGAAGGGTCCAACATAATTATCCTCTAGACTCAAGGGTAAGGGCGCTCGCTTCAGCAGCTCCGGCGGCCTCATTCTGTGTATGTGTGGCCACACGAAGCCAAAGCTGATGTGGTTCTGTGAATGCTGTGAATGCCGCAGGTAGGGTGTAAACAACCCCCAAAGCGACTGGGTTTGCTCATGCGCTGAGGGGGATGTGACACGGTTTGAAACGGGGCAACTGCTGGAACTCCTTTTTGGACTTCGAGCCCCTGCTGTCGAAGAGCGAACGCCCACCGTCCGCCTCCAGCAGCTGCTCCAGGACCTGCTCCAAAGGCACCTGTCGCAGCAGCCTCCGCCGGATGAAGTTGCAGGCCTCCTGAAGTAAGGGACGGATCGGTTGGCTGAAAGGGTCCTAGATATCGCCCGTTTGCCCCAAAGGGTCCGACAAATAGAGCAGCTCTTTTTTTTGAACTCGACAAATGAAAGTCGCGTGATGACGCAGGCCACAAGCACACCTTAATCGGAGCCGAGCATTTCTCTGACCAAATCTTTAGGCTTGATGCTCAAACCCATGTCCATGACGACTCTGTTCACATGGCGTGTATGTGCGACCGAAAATATAATGCACGTTGACTGGCGAACGGCTGAATGCAAGGCACCCACCCTGTGCCGGGTGCAAGCACCAACAAATTTCCTGAGTTGCTTCATTTCGTGTCAAACTGGCACACGACATATCCCGTGGAACAAACGGTGGCGACCGGTGACTGTTCGAAGTGGGCAGGCCAACATCGACGTCCTGGGATGACTTCATATCCCAAATCCCGTCACATGCAATAACCACCTGGGCTGAGCGAGAGATGCATCAGCGCAAAATCGTCGGTGCGATCCTTGCGGTTTGGACAAGTCGCGAACTCATCATTTGGATGCCGTGGTTGGCACACCAGCTCTGGCGTGGCACTGACCATCTGGCCGGGCTCCGGGCTGCAGCCCGGGGGCATGGGACAAGGCTCCCAAAGATTGCACCGTTGCACCCCTTCTCCCAGTGCTAAAGACTGACAAACACGGCTTGTTTGTTCACTTCTCTCTCGCCCGCCTTCTTGGAAGATCTGTGAATAAAGCAATTCCGGGTTGCCATAATACAAGCTCAAAGTCCCACACTGCAAGAGCGGGAATGCCAACTCACCATGTGAAAGGCGCAAACTGCAAAGTACGCCTACGACACAGCTTTGTTGGAGCTACTGGGAAGTCCCCATTCGTGAACAACGCTTGTGGCACTCAGCACAGCAGTGCGCATGGTTTCACCCCGGTTTTTCCGAGGGCATTCCTCCGCCTCTCCGCGCCTCAGGCTATTAATTACTTTGGTGAGCCGGATCACTAGCATCTCGCATTACGATAGAATAAATGAAAGCTTGAGCATCTTCCCCCAAAATTGGCCGTCAACACTCCATGGGACTTGCTCTGTCCATCCCTGCTTCATTCCACCCTGCCCGATCCCTGGTGGCGTGGCCTGCTTCTCTGGAGGTATGTTGGCCTGTTTGTACCTCGTCAGCTCCAGTGAAAGGTGAAATGGCTGGCAGACTTCTTGCTGGCTATTTTCTGGCTTGAATGTACGCCTGACTCAAATTGCATACAGTGGTGCCCTGGGCCCCGCTAAAAAACACAACAACAACAAAAAGTCGAAGAAGAACAACGCATCTTGACGAAAACCTGCAGCCTTCCTGCCCGCGCCCCCTTTCACACCGCACAGGAGCATTCAGCTAAGCGCCAGGCTGCAAGTCCCCAATGGCGCGCGAGAGGCTCAGGTTTCCTGCACTGGGCAAGCATTGGAAGATTTTTGTACAATGGCCCCCCAAAGCAATGAAGTAAAAAACGATCAAACGGCCCAACCGGCCAAAAGAAAAAGAAAATAAAGCCGTTTCCATCAAGTTCCACAAGGGCGACCACCGTGTGAGCTGGCTTCTTCAGGAAAACAAACGCAAACTTCAAGCCACTGTCTAAAAGTGAGCACCCGCTCCGTTGACCCGGTAGGTGGTGTTCGCCCCTCGCCGCACCGCCACGACGTTGCCCCCGGCAGATTCAATGCGTCGCCTGAAAAGTCGCCCCGCGGGGAAAGCACAACTCCCTGGCTGGTCTGAAGTGAAGAGTGCAAGCACGTTCTTGAACGAAGACATTCAAGGTGCGTCGCAGCACACGCCAACCGGAACAGGCCACCAATGAGAAGTACCAAACTGCGCAAGCTCACTTCGGACCCCAAACTCCAGAAAACCAAAGAGACCCTCAAAGAAAGGAGGGCAAAGCGCGGACCCCTCAGTCACAGAAAAAGTGTTGTCCAAGTAGCTTCTCGGTCTCCAAGTTCGGCTTATGATCAATGGACAACGCCATAGCAGTGCCCTTGCGGCACAGGACCTCAACCAGTCACACCAACGCGCGCACTGGTCTGACTTTATGGGGTGGCGTCCCAAGTAAGAGGGGTTTTGCATCTGCCCGCTTGATCCATCCAGCGACGAGATTGCCACCCAATCTGCCTGAGAAGCTTCAAGCCATCGAACGAGGGTGGCAAATTGAAGTATCCCGCCCGCGGACGACATTTGCTAGTCACCTTATCACTGGGCTCTGGCCTAGTCTTTGCCAAGCTGCAGCACGAGAGTCTCCAGCATTCGCACAAATGATGTCAGACCTCAGCGCGTCCAAGCCCCTGGCAGCTTTCTAGCTTGTGTTTCAGACTCACAACCGAGGGAAGCCGGGGGTTTGTTGAGCACCGAGTGTGACGGCAGCTTTCACGGCAGGGACATCGCAAGCTCAGAGTCCCACGGCGTCAGCAGCACACAAACCTCGGGGCTTGCGGCTTGGGAGCCGCGAGCCAGTCTCAAATCGGCCAATCACCGCCTCATTTTTATGCGTGCGAGCAACGGCGGCGCAACCAACACCATTAGCTGGCTCTTCCTCTGCCACACCCATCCGCCGCAGCATCACCATCTTCCTCAAGTGGACAACAGACCAGCGGAGCGCAACAAACAGACATAGATAGTTGGAAAAAAAATTGCCCCATCGCCTGACTTGTCCAATTCAGCTGAGCAGCATGAGGATGCTCTCTGCATCCTGGCAGCAAAAGGGCACTGTGAACGCACAGCCAACGGATCGCCAATTTGCCTCACTCACCGGGGGGGGGGGGTAATTACGCCCAACAATCATGCTAAAGACCCAGTAACGTCCGAGCTGACTTCGGTTCAGCTCATCACCAAACCTCCGAGTCGAATGGATTTGGCACTTGGTGCCATGGACCACGTTTCCGACCTCTTTTGGATGGTGATGCATCGGTGATCTGTCCTCCTTGGTGAGTACTCCTCTGGCCCGAGCTTCTGCCATGTCTTCCTTGATGGAGTTCCTTGCAACTGCACCGCTTCCGAACTCAAGCAACTACACCACCACTGGCACGATGGTGTCCTGACAGTACATATTTAAATTGTGCTTTTGAATCCAATATTGTTCTTGGAGTTTGTTTAAGGAAGGCCTTGCACAAACTTTGGGGCCTTGTCGCCAAACTTCAGTCTCGTTGGCCCCAAGCCTACTGAACAAACCCGGCTCGCCAGCATCTACAAGTGCTATTTCAAGAAGAACACGCACGATGTGGAAGCCCAAAGGCCCTGAGCTCGGGCCGCATATGCCAAGCAACTGCAGGTCTTCTGCAGGTGGTTCTGCTGCGCCTGGGGGGTAAAAATTATAGAAATAAAAATATTAAAGCACACCCGCAACCATCTTGCTGTTACAAGGCACCCCCTGCTCCAGCATCTTGTCTGCCGCGATAGCTTATGAGCTCCTGTGGCAATGAGCCCTCCCCTCTCCAAGCGCAAGGGTGCTTTTGTGATGTACACCTGGAGCATTCTGACACTATTGCTAGGGAGAACAGATCGATTTAGGTCTGGCATTGCCGAATGCGAGGTGTGCCTCACGGTACTCCGGGCTGCGAAGCATCTCGTCCATCCTGCGACTGTCAGAGCACAGGTGCCAGACAACACGGCTTGACTTCCAGGCCTGTGAAAAACTGCTCTAAGAGCGGCAAAGACATCCTGCGCTTTCCTGGGCCGCTGCTCCGAAAGGTCTTGAACACTTGGCACGCCAGTTGCAATTTGAATGTTCAGCATGGTCTTGCACAAGCCCCTCGGGTGTCCAAACAAAATGAGCAGGAACACTCGAGCAAAGGTCTTGAAATGGCAGTCATCTATATAACATTAGTGCGTGAATCTGCGCGCCCCCTTTTGAGCTGGATTGTTTACATACATCCGTTTGTAAAGAAACTAAACATCTATGCATACAAACATACATGTATATATACATACTGATATGCATGCACGTATGTAGGTAAGTAAGTGTGCATGTATGCATGCATGCATGCATGCATGCATGTATGAATGCCTGTATGCATGTATGCAATCATACGTGTTTTGAGGTTGCACCCCTCTACGTCTGGAAAAAACATACAGATCCGTGGTTCCGGGAGTTGATCAAATATACTTTACTTGCAGCAAAGCTGCCAGCACAGCGTCATAAATTCAGCTGGCATGTGCTGCTCGCAGAATTGCGCCACCTGCACCAGTTCTGATCCTATGGTCAGGGTCTGACAGTAGCTGAAGTTCAACGAAGCAACCACTGTGGATCTTGCCCATTTAAAGTTTGAGAATAGGTCGGCAACGCATCCCCGATTCCTCTGATCATTCGCTTTACCTGACCAAGGCCGGCCATCTTCGTGCTTGTTGTGGAAACCCTCGAACTAACTTGCAAGAAGCGACCTTAATAGTAATTACAAAGCATGACGCAGGCGACATTCCCACCGTCGCTTCGGCACTTATCCTGCAACATCTGCTGTCGCCTCTTGCCCGCCATGGCCGTCAAAGACGGCAAACATGCCAACGCCCTTCAGCGGGGCACCAAGATCTGGCAGGGTGATGTGCGCATCCTGGCCATTGAGTTGGGACATGCCACGTGAAACGGATTGTCTTATTGGGGAACGTGCTGAAGAAATGTGCTAGGACCCAAGGTTGTCCTCCATGGAGACGCGCCAGCCTGAGGTCAGAAGCTCTAGCAACTCAACCCAAGTGCCCCGAATACACTCCTCATATCAGTCGCGAATTGGACGACGGGATGCCGGCACTGCAGATTCGGCAGAGCATCGCAATCGCAAGGAAGCAAACCAACCATGAGGGCATGGCAGTGGCAAATGAAAAGAAAAGTGCTGACTTCCTACTTGTTGGGACTAATGGATCAGCACTACGCACTCTCACAAACCTTCAGTTCGATTTGATGCCGCGGCACCTTGCATGCCAGTACTGCCCCAGGTAAAACCTGGACCAGTGCCAACCACGGTGTCCTTGTCCTTCCTGAGGCCGAAGCCAATCCAAGTGCTTATATAGAAATCTCCAACTGGAACGTGTCAATATGACAACATCAAAATACTATCAAAATAGCTGGCAAATGGATGTAGCCATAGGTTATGCCCCATGGCCACATGATCCTCTGGAGTTCCCTGTAGTAGAGAACTCAAAGTGACAACCTCCGTGTCCAAGGTGCTTCGGCTCAGTCAGGTAGTTGCCCATGGCACCGTTCCGCCCCTCGCGCGGAAAGTCGCCTTGGCTTGCAGCTAGTGCTCACTCTGACAGCCACGGAGCGGCTGGATCGCAACTTCAAAGGTGCCAATGTGAACTTCTCAAGGCTTCACTTGCACTCTCGCCCACAGCACCTGCGCAACCTGAACCCTTGCCTCTGACAGCTTGACCTAGGACCTACGTGCACGCACACACTCAGGAGCAACAAAGGCATGCACTGTCTGCATCCAAGATGCGGCGAGGGTGCGGTTAAAAGAGTCTTGGCTCAGAGCTCAATACATGCTCCGGGCTGTGAATGTGAGGCTTGCATTTTACAAACCAGCGGGGTTGCACGTAAATTTGCAAGAGGGTTTGACAACTCCTCAACACTCACGTGAGCACGCGAACAATTCCAAGGCTGGAATTTACTATGGAACTTGGTCTCATTCGGGACATGTGTTGGTCTTCTGTCAGAGCCATCAACCTGCCGCGGAACAGGCCCGGCACATGCGCGTGACCGAAATCTGCCCATGTCTCCATGCAGCTCCCAGGCGGATCTCACGTGCTTCCCAGGCCATAGGGCCGTTACATACCATGCCGCGTGATTGCTGGTCTTAGCCTGAAGTTCCAGAGCTCACCACAAGCCACTCTTCCGACCCGACGCCGCCCACAAGCCCGAAGCAAAGCGCCCTGGGTGCAAGGCCCAGCTTCGCGCAGCACCCAAGCCTACGGAAAGCATTGCCCCAGTCAAGGACACATGAAAAGGCTGAAGATGGCGAGAGGCAGCAACATCAGCAACACGCAACTGGGCTAGCCAGTAGTGCCGAGACTCCCAGACGACGTTCAACCAATCGATGCAGGAGATCCCTGTTTGCTCAGGCTCGCAACTAAGCTTGAATGCCCTGGATCAAAATGTGCGAAAATGGGAGGGCCAATCGTTTCAGCATGGGCAACGGATCAAGGCCCGGTGGGGCGCCTGGGCCGAGTCCAGGCGGAAAATCCGGTGAAAAGACCAGGGGATCAGCGGCTCGGGCGGCTCGTGTCCCGGCCTTAGGTCCCACATAACAAACGGTGCTGCTAGTGGGAACTGGGAGCCCCCGCCAAAGGCCCTCGCTAGTGGGTGCTTTGAATCAAGCAGGCTCCATTGTTTGACCTGGCCTTCCCATTCTCGTAGCTGGTTATGCCACAAGATGTTGATTAGGCTTTGAGAGCATGCTTGGAAGGGCGACGGATCAGGCTCGGACGCTCTCGCGCAGTTCGGATGGGGCTAGAGGTTGACAGGGAAACCGCCAGACACACACCAAAGCGAGCTCGACCAAATGGCAAACGTCTCAGACTCGTCTGCTAGGTGCCACGATGCCAGGACACTTCGCCACTGGCGCAAAACAATGTCAACATGATTCCTCAGAGCCGGGCTTTCCAATGTCGACTCGGGCCTCAGCGAGAAGCATGGGACGCATGAACCAACCGCTGACGCCAGCGTTGAGCTCTTGGAGACTTGGAGCGGCTTCGTCTAGTGAAGCTACGAGAGCCCAGGGAGGGGCAAGGGCACTGCTTGTGAGCACAGCTCCATCGCCGCGCCCATTTTTTTAACCTGCTCCCAGCGAGCCTCCCCTGGCTGCGTGCATGCAGTTCCCCAAATCCTTGGCAAGAGCTCGCCACAAGCCCCTAACCCGACGCAGAGATCTCGACTTCCGGGTGAAGTGAATGGAAAATGACTGGCATGGACTGGCATAGAAACAAGCGTCTAGATCCCTGACCTCGTCGGCCCAGCGAATGCCTTTGTGCATTCCGTCCCCCGGTAATCAGAAGTCCATGAGCACACCAGCGCCATTATTTCTTTGCCGCAGCTCCTCGGTGGATGCCTTCTCCATCTGCTGCAGGAACTTGGTCTCGAAGAAGTGGGTGTATGGCTTCAACGACGTCTTCTGTACATCCCCTATCTTCTGCAATTCCTCCACCAGCAGGCCAATCGTTGGCACCTTGGCTGGGTCGAAATCGTCCAGCCTGTCTGGATCGATTGGGACGCATACGCGGCCCGTCTTTGGATGGACCACGAATGGGGACTTCAGCAAATGGTTCATCTGCTTGCTCACGCCGATGTCAAGACGAGGGTAGGCAAACTGAATCATCACGTCTTTCAGAAATACCTGTCCGCAGCTCACATCCATCGCACAACAGCTTCCTTTCCAAGACAGTATACAACCCGAACAGCCTTCTGTGACTGACAATTATGAATCCATGAAAACAAGGTTTCCCTAAACGTTAAAGACCAGTACCAGTACAGTGCTAGTACTGTACAAGGATGAGGAATACTGTACAAGGATGAGGTTGTGCAGGTCCAGCAGTTTTCTAGGGGTGCTTGACGGCATGTACTGTCGGCCAATGAATGTGCATAGCACTGATGGTAACCATTGTAAGCCAAAACGTGGGCAACCTTTCACAACAAGAAGTGCCTTGGCGCCCAATGTTTGCTTGAAGTTGCTCGCGGTCTTGGCTCGTGCGTCCGCCACCTTCTCAAGCTGCGTCCATATGTCCATCGAAGTGGCCTGAGGGTATGTCGTCATGAATTTCGTGATTGTCTCCTTCTCAGGCACGCTGAGTGGCTCCAGGATGTTGGCCAAGTGCGGCCCGTGTTTCAAAATGTCCTGGGTTGCGAGAATGCCGTCATGCTTGTCCCGAAACCACTTCTTGCAAATGGTGTGCGCCTCAACGATCGATGGGTGCAGCTCCTAGGAAAGGGCATGGCACAGAGCTACTCATGCTTGTCATCCTTGCTTTCCTCCTTAGCGGGTTTCAAGGGTGCGGCTTGCATATGTCGACCTGACATCCTGACATGGCTTGCAAGCACCGTGCATAAGAATTGCCATGAGGCCAAGCACTTAGTGGGACTAAGACCTGTGGGCAAGGTGCTTGTTATCTGGACATCAGATCGGGTTAGGTCGACTTGTTGGAGAAACGCGTCCAGGAGGACCAATCAAGGTCCAACAAACACGTTTCAACGCACAGAATCTGTTTTTTTCTATAAGTAGAATCGTAGAATCGTTGGTGGCTATCTAACCGAACGCACATGCTTCTACATGTGCATCTTCGTTCTACCAACAACAGCTGCGCTCTGCCCCCTCCTCGCAGCCATTCATCTTGAGGTCAGCTCGGCACTTCCCCGTGCCGCTGCAAAGCGTCAGGTAGTCCGCCACTGCGCCCCGCTGCTCGTTGCTAAGCTTCCGGGCCGCCTAGGGGGACTCGCAGGGGATTCATAAGCCATTCCTTGCACAAACATGGGTGCCGGGCTTGAGCATCCTCAAGGGGCGAAACGAAACTGACTCCTGGAAAATGTCATTGCAACGTCTTCAACCAATCCGAGCTTTGTTGGCACCTTCACAGCCTGCCCACCGCTTCAGTCACTTTCAAATCACACGGCCTAGCCTCGTCGCAAACCCAGCAGTGGACACCGCGCCGACCTGAGTAGACGAAGAGCAGGTGCTCGAACCCAAAGTCCTGGTGAACAGGCTAGTGATTTCCAACCTGGGGGATAAGTCGGAGGTCTGCGCAAATCTCAAATATCCACCCCGTTTGGCTTTCTTAGGAAACTTCATGTTGTCAGAGGGGGACACACGCGCAGCCGTTTGGGAGTGAGGGTCGCTCTGCCCCATTAATTTGATTTTCCAGTTCAAACCTGACTCATGTTCAACTGGAATGTGGGGTTCTTCGCGGCTTATAAAAGCCACACTGCTCGTCCATTGGAGTAACGATTCGGTGTGTCGCATGGCCCAGCTTTGCCCTCCGCGTTCAAAGTGGTGCCCTTCAAAACAGCAAAGCAAGCTCAAGCTCTCTAGCTCCCAGAGAAGGGGTTGCGCCAAGTGACCTGAGTGACCTGGAAATCTACATGCATGCTGGAGCGCGCTCTCTCGCCCCATCCTCTCGCAAGGCCCTCCGCAACACCTCAATCGCAGCCTTCATGAATGTCCAGCACTTCAAGCAAAGGTTTGCTCCGCTGCAGCAAGTTCTGATATCGTCATACTCGTCCATGTCAATGTCAAAGACCAATTCGCGCTCCAGGGGCTTGTAGGCCTCCTCCAGGCACTGGGTCAATCGACTTCCACATGTTTTGGGGCTTCACCACACTCCACTTTGCTTCTGTCAGGCTATGCACCGGGTTCTTGGGGGTAAGAATTCGAAAGAGCCTTGTAACTGCTGGCTGCGAACATTTTCGCCAAGGGGTGCAACAGATTTTGACACTAAGCCATTTGGGTGTGGGTCAAAAATAGGTACCCAATATAGATCTCTGGTAAATGGAAACATGGACTAAGACCTGCAGTCCCCTGGTGGTTTAATTTTGACCCATCCCCATTTGATTTGACCGTCCTTTGACACCACGTTGTGCTTGGAAGGCGCGTGAGAAAAGACCGCTCCAATCTCCATCCTGATGGGTTGCCGGTCAAGGACTTTCGCGCGATACTCCTCCATATCCTTGAAGCACTGATACCGGCAGAAGATCTCCTTCCCCTTTTCCTCGCATGCCAAGCGAGCCGCTGGCATAACCCTACCGGCCCAGCTTTGACAACACGCGCACACAAATGGCCGTGGCTCAAAAAACCGGTACCAAAATGGAACCCTGGTAAGTGGAAACATGGACCAAACCCTGTTTTGAGCCACTGCCAAATCACGAAAAGGGGCCATTTGCCCCACTTTCCGACGAGTCGCCCCAGCCAGCACAAAGGTGAACTCCCTGCGCTGGAAGAAGTCCTTCTGCGCGCCGGCGCTGGCGCTCTTGGGGTCGTTGCGGTAGCTGAGCCATCTCAGCGCAAAGCCGAAACAAACTCCCAGCCTGGTTTGCTCCTTGTTCGAGGTGTTAGTTGAGCGGTGGGGATCCCAAAGGGATCCAATAATTGAGAGGTCCCCAACTCTCTCAGTCCATAGGCTAGTTCATGGCGCAACCCCCTGAGGTTTTTTTGGCACTCGCCTGAACATCTGGAGGAAGGGAAAGAGCCGCTCATAGTAGATCTTGAGCAACTCGGGGCTGAAGTCCTCGTTCTTCATGAGCCCGTCCATCTTTGCCCCATCAGATGCCATGGCTGAGCACGCAAACAAAGAGCAGCTGCCAAGCCTGCCCAGCCGCCAAGTCTACGGTGCTTTAGGTGTTCCCAAAGGTCTTGAATTGGCTAAGTGTCGGCCACATCCCGCAAATGCAGTGACAAGTGACAGCGGCGCAAAAGGGTGAGCCCTGGAGCCAAAACGAAGCGCAGCGGGGGTCAAGGATCTGCGGCCAAGACTTGCACGGCAGACTAGAAAGTTATCGTAGTATTGCAACAGTGGAAGTTCGTCTGACCTGGCTTGTTGACTACCCGGTGAACCCACCTCCGCAAGCTCCATTGTAGGCCGCTGCGCCGGCGTGCCTCAAGAGGCACAACCAGTACGCAGCAAAGGGCAAATTGGATGGAGCCTGGATGGAGACACCAACATGAGTTGAAGTTCGCGTAGAGGATTTCTCAAAACACGCTCCACTTGGCAAGCGCTCCGTCCCTCAAGAGAAACATCAGGCATATTCGTGAGGTGCATGGGATCAGCTCCATCCAAAGGCCTGCGCATGCTCCCGAAGCCATGGCGGTCGTTGCAAAATCCCACTTCCAAGGTCCACTACACGCGCTGCGTCATGCCGCGGGATTTTCTGCCGAGGCCTGGGCAAGGTGAGACAGTGAAGCCCTGCAGCTCCAAGGTCAGGTACCTGGCTCTCCCGGCGGTCACATGGCCTTTTCTGGACCCGGATGGGGCCCACGGGGTCCCCAATTTTGGAACTGCCCGCATTAGTTCCTATTACCAGTTAGCAGGCGCAGAAAAAGGGCAACTCACGAAACTTGAGCTCTGAATCCCATAGTGGCAACCTGGCGACCCAGAATTGGTACCCTGGCTGAGCATCAGGTATCCCGTCTCAAAATATCAAAAATGGCATCCGTGACGGGGGGGTCGAGGTGTCTCTCTGTGGCACTTGACTTTTCTTTCTCACCGTACGCTGCCAGGCGACTCAGCGGCCCCAAAACGGAAAACCTGAAAAACCTCTTTTTAAAAAAATGGCAGCGCATAGCAGTTCACTGCAAAAGTCTGACGCCCCAACCCCTACTCTTGCTATTGTGCCTGGCACTTTTATTTACAGTGGACACACTCAAACTCTACAAGCTCCCTCAGCAAATTTGCTGCAGTGTGGCCACCATGGTCTACAACACATTCAGGAAGTGGTCTATCAGAAAGGACCTCCGTTTGCGAGCACTCTGAATCCCAAAGTCGTTGTGTAAAGCTTAAGTTTATAAGAACAGAAATGGGCCACAAATGATATCATACCGCCTACTCTCTCTGCGGCTGAGGCACGGTGCCACACTGGGCGGGCCCTGGTGCGCGCCCTCATCGCAGTCCCTGGCAACGGACCCCGAGTGGAAGCAACGTGGCGATTCCATTGCCTGATTTGCAGCGCAGATTTCAATGCTTCAAAACAGCACAAGCAGAACAGTGCTCAAACATGCAGACGCCAGCAAATACGTCGGCCCCCGAATCAGTTGAGGTGTAATCCTATCTGTGTCTTTTAATGCCAACTCATCTCAACGTCCAAGATGTACCTGTGCCCGCATCTTACATCCCCATTCCTTCACGTCTCCCCAACCCACAAGCAGAGTTCACTGATTGTCTCCTTCAACGAAACCTCTGGTAGGCTCCAGGAACTTGAGCGGCAAACAGAAAGCCTCTTGGCTTGCGCCAAACTGCCAATTGCCAATCCTCTCTCTCTCTCTCTCTCTCGATTCAGGGAAGTGGATGTTAGCTACCAAACCCCAGGCATCTGCTCGACACAAGCATGGCACCGGCAAATAAAGAGCAAGCATGAAACCATTGCATTCTATGTTCAAACACAATGACTTGAAAGCACACCCACAGCCATCGTGCACCTGTCCTGGGCAAAATACATGTTGCCTTTGCTTCGAATGATGCTCTCATAGGCCGAGCAACCAAATGCAACTGCGGCCAATACATACCAATGCCACCATCGACCCCTGACCTGTCAAGTTCGTCAAGTGCAGCCTCCCGCACTTGTTTGCTTAAAATCGCTAAGGAGCTCTGGATTTAAGGGGCGCTCGCCAAGACAAGAGCTTGCCTGATTGGCGCTACGACGTGCTACGCTTGGATCCTGCCTGAAAATCTCCAGGCGCATCCGGTTGACGTGCGTTCGCCTTGCCAAGCCAAGCTGCGAGCGCAAGCGCGACGCAGCGAATGGCTTACCCGCGCCGGCCAAGCAGTGTTCCGAATACACCTTGCAAATGGACTGCAAATGATGTTTTTTGATGTTCCATGGTATTTCGCCCGGGCTGAATGTGCGGACTCTATCAATGCTGGCACGCAAAGGGCCATCGACAAGCTGCAAAGCTGGGTCAAGCTGGATGAAGCTGTGTGAGCATGCAGCTTCTACATATAGTATGTAGGAGTGCTTCACCCTGCAGCCGGCATTGCTTAAGGGATGGCCGGAAGCTTCCCATGAAAAACTAGGAACACTTCGGCCCACTTGTACCTACCCTCCTGTTCCCTACAAACGGTTTGAACCGGCAGGCCGACTTCGGGCCTCATCACATGAGCCTCACCGAGGAGCTGACCACACATATGGCTTGCAGCCGGAACAGCCCCCCTGGCCAACACTGTATAGGCAAAAACAGGGGTGATCCTGCAATTGATCGGACACTGGCCACAAAATGCCGTTCCGTGGTACAACAGTCGCCCCGCCCCACCCCCATCACCTCCGGCACTTGGGCCCCCTGGCAGGCCCTGGACCACCGTCTCCACCAGCGTCAGCTGTCGAACCACACCCTCTGCAGGCTTCCGGCCTCAGCCCATGAACCCAGAGCCGCAAGCTTGGATTTGAGGTTTCTCTTGAATTGGTCAACCTGATGGAAAATGTGGAGTAAATGTCGGGGAAGTGGCTAGATTTGAGGTGGATCAACCACTGGCTTGGGTCCAAGCCATACCGGATCCCAAGCACAACGCCATTGTTCGCCCTGGAGAGGCAGAGTACTAACATACATGGGTCACGGCTCCATCAGCACCCAGCACATCCCAACTCCAGCACTGAATTCGCACAATTTGTTTGGCGGGCGCTCGTGCAGTGCGTCGTTCGGCTCACGATTGCGAATTGTCAAGCGCGATGCAACCTCCACAAAGAGGCAGCCCCAGCACACGTGCGGACCCACATGCCCCAGCTCTTTGGCCTCCTAGAAGTTGGAGTCACAGTTCGGCATGCGGACTGATCATTGCCGGGGGGGCGTTGCTTCAATCAAGCAAGTGCCAAGATTGCTTCAACCAACGCCAAGGTTGCTGCTCAGCAGGTGCGGTTCTGGCAGAAAACGGTGTGTTCACGCTGCACCCGGTGAGTTCACCTGCGCTTTTCTGGTGCACATGGGGCGGGCATCTTTGCTTCCCGCCATCTGAACCCTGTGCATGTCTGGGGCCCCAACTCCGCTTCTCGGCCATGGCCTCCTGGCGGGACCAGGCTGGCAGGGTGGCAAATTGGCCTCCGCGCCCCTCAAAAACCTGCTTTTGCGCCTTTGGTACAGCGATATGAATGTTTCTCGAAATTGGGGGACCGTTCGGGTGGGTGATGTCCTGTTGGTTTCCCTTTGAAGCTCATCCGGAAAGGGGGTCCCTTATAGTCTCTGGATTGAGAAACCCCCATATGGGTGTCGCTCTCCAACCCCCCTGCTCATTCTTCACGGGGCTCATTTGCATGCTTGTCACCGCTACACAGGAAGAGGGAGCTTGCTCAAAGAATGCTCCTCTCAAAGAATTCCAAACAAGCAGCCTACAAGTAATCCCAAAGTGTCGCAAATTAGCAGGTTTCTGGATGAGGAAAACAACGCCTCAGCTCTACTTCGGTTGACTTATTGCAAGCTCGGGACAGCCATGATGTACTTGCACTTCCCTTCATTCCAAACCCATGCCAAGGCCATCAGCCTCTAAACTAGCCGCAGTGACAAGTCTTGTCCATGCTCATGTTGGCTTGATCCAACGAAAGCCTGATACGCCTGCCTAGCGAAAGGCAAGTCACAGCTCTCACAGAGCTGCGATGCAAAGCCTCGCGTTCACCCTACCATGACATCCGTGTCTTGCCTTTAACACCTTTAACGCCCTTGAAGGGTGGTCCTTCCTTCTTTCGGATAGCTCTCTTGGCCTCCCTGCCAAGCGCTCACGCTGCCTGGATAAAAAGGCCTGGCCAATTTGCCGATTTTGAAGCCCCCACTTTGGGGACAAAACCGGGCCGCAGTGAACAGGAATCTTCGACTCCTTGTTGCCCAGCTTGCTTGCTTACTTGGTTGGGCATTTGGTTGATTGATGGGTTGGTTGACTGAATGCTTGACTGACTGACTAGCTTGATGGCTGCTTGGATTGCTTGGACTGCCTGGACTGCTTAGCCTTCTTGCTTGCTTGCTTGCTTGCCTGCCTGCCTGCCTGCCTGCCTGCCTGCCTGCCTGCCTGCCTGCCTGCCTGCTTCCTGGGTCAGTTGAGTCATTGATGGGCAGAAATGATGGATGAAAGGCAATGGATGGAAATGTGCACAGGACAAGTTCAGTGGCAATTCCGGGCAATCTGAAAGAGAACAACTCTCGGAGAATGATCCGCAGACGTCGAAACCCTCGGGCCCATCCTATCCGGAAAGGATGCTACAAACAAAATTCCCATACGTGTTTTCCAAATTAATGCCCAAAGTATTAGTCCCATTGTGCAATCACAACTTGCAAACAGCCACAGCTAAGAAAAGAACGGTGCTTGGGCTTGACTTGGGCAACTCTGGCTTGCCCAAATGCTAGCAAAAAGGCACGAGCGCTTTTGTGCCCGGCACTCGCAGCCTGACAAGGCGACAAACATCTTTCGATGCTACTCAACAGAATTTACATGGCAGAAAGAAATGTGCTCAAAAAAAAGTCTTGGTTCTCTCACCAATCGCCGCTCAGAACTGGGCCAGCTCCCTCCTTGGCTGGATTGCTTGAGCAGTTCATGTCGGGACATGCAGCTCTGAGCAAGACCTGGATGAACAAGGGTCTTTCTTTTTACTGGGCATGTCCCCAAAAAGCATTGGGGTCGCATTTTGTCGCATTTTGGGGTCAGGTGTCGCCTATCCTAAAAGCTCATCCGAGGCGCCACTCGGTCAAGACCTTGCTGGCCTTCTGAAAGTCCTCCTCAGCTCGCGCCCACTGCTTGTTGCCGCCGTCCACGCCCAGAGTGGAGACCTTCTGCGAGAACTCCCTGGCCTTCGAATAGGCCGGAGACCCCTCCTGGCCCGAGAAGTAGAGCATGTCCTGCTTCAGGGAGCCGCCAGCCTGCAGCAGATTGCCCTTGAGCGCCTGCGCCTGCTTGGTCTTGATGAACTCCGGAGTGTTCTCGAAGCGCGTGAGCGCCGCGCTCAGGGCCTTCCTCTTCCTGGCAACCTCGTCCTCGCCCCGGGACTTGTACACGGTGTCGGAGCCATCACTGAACTGGGAGTAGGGGTTGATGGGGTTGTCGTTCTGGGAGTAGGCGTCCGACTGCCCGCTGCCGAGCCCAAAGAAGGAGAAGGTGGGCACCTCCGCGTTGGCTGCTGAGCCGGACGCCACCACAGCCGCCGCCAATGCCGCTGCAACCTCGCGCCGCGGCGCCACAAAGGCGTCCCTGGGCCGCAGCACCAAGACCAGGCCGGCCGCCACCAGCAGCTTGGACAGAAGGGACGCTCGAGCCATGGCGAGGTGGGCGATTGTGGCGGGGGAGAAGCGACTTCTGCCTATTTGGGCCCAAAGCGGCGAGGCAACCCTGCACAGGAGCAAAATGAGAAAATGCGGAACGTACCCAGGGTAGCCAATGCCTGTGAAACGCTTCAAGCAAAACGTATTGCTCGCATTGCAAATGAGAGCGAGCCGGCCCCATCGCAGCCCCGTGGCCTGCCCGGGAGCATTTCCTTCATTGGCTCCTGCCAAGCGAATAGACACTGCCTGCCTGCCCTCCCCCCCCGAAGAAAAAGCCGTCCCTGGCAAACGCAAGCCGCCCTTCCAGCGTCAAACCCAAATGAAGTCTCTGGGTTGCTTGGACCACCGCCGGATCAAATGCACGTTCCCCCCTACCCGGTTGGCATGGCGGAATCAAGCCACTGCTGCTGGACGAGTCAAATAAACTATTAACAACTTTCCGAGAACAGTGTCCCATCATGTGCACGTGGATCTCCGCCCGGTCAACGTCTACAGCCTGTTCTACAGGTGGTACGGATCGGCTTGGTCCAAGAGTGAGCAGCTGAAGCAATGGCGCCAGCAGTGGTTGGAGGACCGGGCAGCGCTGGCACGGAAGCCTTAGCTTCGATGGTGGCAGATAAGGTGACGCAGGACGGGTGGGTCGCTACCTTGGACGACTCCTTGGCCCTCGACTACGTCACTCCGGCGGCTGTCACAAGAGGCATGGAGGAACTGGGGCTACCACGTGGCTTCGCACAAGTGCTACATGCGCAGTGGACGGACCAGCGCCGGCTGCTGCAGTGGAACACCAGCACCTACACCAGCCCGCTGTGCACCAGCATGGCCGTCCAGCAGGGGGATCCGATGAGCCCTTGCGCTCAACATACTAATGATGGCGGGACACCGCTTCGTCACCAACAGATGCCCGGCCACCTCACAAGAAAGAACCCATGTGATATACATGGACGACAGAACGTGGAGCAGCACCTCGGCTCAGCTTCTCACTCGCACGCTGGACACCTGGCACGAGTTTAGCCGGCTTGGGGCTAAGAGAAAACGCTGGCAAAACACAGATGACCTGTGGGAGCCAGGAGCAGAAACAGGAGTTGATAACCCAACTGGCCGGCAGGCCGAACCTTCAGAACACGGTGGTTCGATCTGCCTGCATCCTCGGATGCTGCACGACGGGTGATGAGGACAGACCCCTTCACGCCAAAGAAAAGCAAAGGCTCCAGCAGGCAAAGCAGGTATGCGAACGCATACGGTTCTTACCCACGGACCACAACACAAAGCTAGACACGGCCCGCATGATGGCCCTCAGCAAGGCTGCCTATGGGTGGGTTACCAACAAACCATCCAGCACAGAGTGTGAACGCTTCAACAAAGCCCTGAGAAGCACAAGCAGCGCTTTCAGAGGTGGCTCCAAGCACCTGCACAACGTGCTCTTCGGTGGAGTAAGGACTCTGGAGGTAGTCATAGGAGCAAAGCAAGTCCTTCTTCGGGGGAAGAGAAGCACCAGCGAGCAATGGACGCCCGCACAGCACGCCACCAGCCTTTTAGCCAAGCAGGCGAGAGAGTTCCTTCAAAACTGTGGGTGGACCAATGTGAGGCACAAGTGGTCGCACGTGCAGCTTGGCTTGGAGTGGAACCTCGGCCGCCCTTCACAGCACTTGGTGGCCCACCAGCTGCGGGAAGCATGGAGGGCTCAGCAATGGAACCTTTTCGTGAATGCCAACCGGAGAGACTCACGTGCCCTGAGGCATGTTGCCTACAACAGCCAAAGGGTGGGCCTAGTCAGAGAGGTGCTACAAAGCACACAAGGCGCTACAGCAGCTGTCCTTACAGGAAGCTTCTTCAGCCCAGCTGCCTTCAGTGTACGGCCGGGGATTCCCCGTGGGCTCTCAATCTGCCCTCTGTGCGGTTGCCAGAGAGCAGATCAGGAGCACCATTTCTGGACTTGCCGCCAGAGGAGAACGGTTGGTCGTCCAGCAGATGTGCTGCAAGCTCGGCTCGGATGGCCGCTCACCAGGCAGGACCTCCTGGCAGCGATGACAACTACAGCGGAGGAGGTGTGGTCTCAAAGACACGCCGACACAAACGCAGCATGGACTCGCACCGCATACAAGCCCAAAGGCTTGCTCGTGAAAGCCTCCTTGCTCAGTACCAAGCGGAAAGGCAGGCGCCTTTTCGCTTGAGGCCCCGGCCTGTTATGCTGCTGTCAGGCGCAATCCGACAGCAGCTCAAAAACCGACATCCTCATGTGCACGTGGAATATGTTTGTAGTCGAGGTGTGTTTGTACGCCCGCGTGTTGGTGCATGACTCAAGTCAACTAGGCGGTGCGCGTGGGTCAACTGCCGACTAAAGCAACCGACAGCCACCAGCCTTCTAGGACCTGCGCCAGGGCCTCCACGTTGTGGATCCTTACGGTGCGCACAACAGAAGAGGCATGTGAGTAGCTCGGCTAGGCGGCTAGGCGCATCTCAGTTTGGCTCATGGGCGGAGAGCTGAGAACAAAAGCAAAACTGTGCCAAAGAATGCCTACGATGTGCAGGGATCGACATCCAACAGTCTTTTCACCGCTCCTATAACCTGAGGCCCTCAGAAAACTAACTCCACAGCAATTCTGAGGCGCTGACCGCACTTGCCTTGGCTCATGCACACGTCACCACACCCTCGAATTGAAAGGCGGCATGGAGGTGCCCCTGACTAGCACTGACCCTAGCCGCCCACTTCATGGCAGCAATGCAGTACTTCCGTATGAGCGACTCTACAAACCGCCCATCGTATATCGTGTCATGTTGCTTACGCGCGAGCTTGCGCTTTCCTTACGCGACCCCTGTGTTAGCTTACGCGGCAAACAGCAAGCATGTTAAGCTTACGCATCGCTTACCCGTGGGCGTTTTGAGCGTTTCCCCCCAAGAATTACTTACGCGGGCTCCTTTTCTCATGCAGCCGCCGGAACTGTTCAAGATGACGCACTCTGAGGAAGAAGATGAGGAAGAACTACCCTCATCGAGTCAGCGGCTTGGCGTTTTTGTTCTTACTGCAAGTCCAGGAACGGGTTATGCAGCAGCGGCATCCATCTCGAGGCCTAGCGGGCAGCCGAGCAAAACGAGCTTACGCGCACCTTACGCGAACCTTACGTGCCTGCTTACACGAGCTTACACGCCCGAGCCCCTTTAGTTTTCCTAAATCAGCGGCTTCAGAAGCCTTTGTTTGTCCTAGTAAAGGTTGCAACAGCACTTAGCATGAGCCCCAAGAGCTCCCAATCAAAGTTCTGCTGGTTTTGTTTTCGATTGGTGCGCACATGCGGTCTTAGACGTCTTCCTGCAGCCAAAGTCTCCGGGCAAGTTGCCAAGCTCGACTAGGTTGCAACAGCACCAGCCAGCAACAAACACATGAGCACATGCGTGAAACAACTCTTCCGAGCATGCTTACAAAGCTTATCAAGCAATCACCAAGAAGAGCTTACGCGGGTGCTTACGCAGCATGTTTCCCCAAAAAGTGCTTACGCCGGCTTACGCCGTGCAGGGTTTTGCTTATGCCGGGCCTTGTTATGACACAACTCTTGCTTGGGATGTAAGGGGGGTTTTTAGAGCTGCTCATATGACCCTTCCACGGGTTCAACAAGCGGCCGAACCCCCAGAGAAAAATGGCGTGTTAGGGTGCCCAAGGTGCGGCACTTGCCAACTTTCTTGATTGGCATGGAGAGGCCAGCATTTCTGCCGTCAGCCGTCTTGGGTTTCAGGCCCAAAGCCTGCACAACTTGGGTTTCCACGACAACGGTATGCTGCGACCACCTGCGGCTGAAGGGCACAGTGAGCTCGCCCATCACCAACCTGCTGGATTGCCCTAGGAGCTTTGCCCAGGGGATGTGCACGCGGATCGCATCCGCCTGGCCAAATCGGGCTGGCCAAATCGGCCCACCGGACCCCATCAGACAAATTCTCCTCGCCGCATGGTGTGCAACATTGGGCAACCCTGAGCTGAGCTGGCGGCGTGCGCACTGACAACCTCCACCGAAGCCGGAAATCCAATATCTAGCAGCACCTGGCCCGGGAAGACAATGACTACATCCAGAGCGCGCACTCGTCCAATCCACAATTGACCCTTCGCTTTGCTCTTCATCTTCCTGCCCGTTGCCTCAAATCGAAAGCTCTTGCGGTGCAAGCTGAAAAGGCTTCTGCACTTGCGATAGGCAAGAACAACACCCAACTTTAAACGACCATGAAAACAACTAGTGACAAGCCTCGAACCCATGGGTATGGCTGCAAAGAATTCCTGAGGTTTAATGCTCCGCAAGCATGACCCGACGCTCAAAATTGCTTCTTGCACGGCCTCCTTCCAGAAGTCATGGAAGTTAAAGGAAAAAGTTGTGTTCCAAAGCTTTGTCGGGTTCCATTCGGCTCGGCTCATTTTTTGAAACCAGCCAACATAGTCCTAGAAATTCTCCCAAATTCCCCTTTTGCCTTGTCACTCTCACCCCCCATCGGCCATCCATTTCGCCTGTTGGATGGCCTCCTCAGCCTCAGCTGATGGCGCACAACCTGCCCAAGGGGCGCCTGCGTGAAGCTGGGAAGCACCGCCCAACCAAGGCTTCTGGACCGTGCCAAACTTCAGCGGAAGATGTGGGATGGGAAAGTTCGTCCACCCTGGATGGGCCTGACATGAGGAACTTGCAAGACAGGACCCTTCAGGCAACTGAGACCTATGGTTCCTTGGGCCCCCTGCCAGCGCTACGTTGGGGCCCAGCTCCACAGTGCCCGACCTGCAGCGCAACAAATACGCTGATTCCCAGGGCCTGCCCCAAAAAAAACAAAACACGTGAGAAATGAATCTGGTGCCCCTCAAAGGCATTTGTCCCTTTAAGAATAAATCAAGTACTTAGAATAAACATGAGAGAAGTAGAATGATTAGCACAAAATGAATGTGGACTTCCCCTAATGGCGTAGTAGAATAATTAGAATTGTTCGAGTCGTTAGAACAACTAGAGCAACTAGCTCCAAACGCTCTTTTGACAGCCAGCACGGCGCGGCTGGGCCGTACATCACCCGCCAAAAAATGAGGAGCGAATGGGGAGAGAAAATGAAGCCAGTGGGAGCGGGGGCGGCTTCAATTGACCTACCACCTGGTTCTGCAGCGAGACAGCCAGCGTGGCAAGTCCCGAGTCAAGCTCACTAGCGACTGGTACCTGAGCTGGCAGTCGACAAACCTCTGAACTCTTGACATGTGTGCTGGCTCACTTGCGGTTGCTCTCTCGTCCTTGTGGCCCTTCCAAGGCTCGCCGCTGCTTGCCCCATGCGGCATTGGCACTTTGACACGGAAGTGGCCCCCGTCGAAATGGACCCCGGTTGACTTCCTCTGGCTTCCATGGCCAAACGTCCCCCGGACAAGGCACATTGAGGCAGGCCGGGACTGCGCACCGTCCACTCGCATTTCCAAGACCTGTGCAAGTCCGCGATGCGCCCGGCGCGGAGGCCCCAGAGATGCGAACTTGAAAGCCAGCTCGTGACCTGGGCCTTTGAACATGAAGCTTTGCTGCGGGGTTCTTGATCACAAAGCATGCACTCCAGCGTGCGGAACCTCCCCAGAACCATGTGCCCTGCCTCCTTGCAAAGCCGAAGAAGTGCAAAGGTGGTTTTGGCATCGTGCCGCTTGTTCTTGTCTGGATGCGCCATCCGGGCAAGAACCTGGTCAGACATGTTGATTGTGGGCCTTCTAGCAAGCTGCTATCAAGCAGAACGCCACATAACTTCTTGGGCAAAAGGCCGCATGTTTAACTGTGGAGGCAAACTCTCAAGCTCCGCTTAGTGTAAACGAGCTGGAGGACTGAGCGGGACATGATTCGCCTTCCAGGCGATCTATGATTGAAGAGGCACAAAGCATGCTCCTACCCGACCGCTCGTCACCTGAGCAGCATGAACGCACGATATATGATAGGCCGTAGGCATTTGTGACATACTTCCATCTCATTCAGGCCTCAACCAAATCCGCCGCGCTTTGCCATGAGCAGCCAAGACAAACCAACCCAAACATTGTTCCTGCCAAGTATGGGTAGGTGTCAAAATACTGCGACCCATAAAGTAGCGGTTCTTCTGGTTTCCATTTGAAACCCAAACAGGGTACCCTCAAAAACAGAAACCATTGGTCAGAATGGCCAAGTGCCGACAAGAGTCTCGCCAGCGCCGGTCCAGACAGCGCTGGCTGCACCTGCGCTCACCAGTTCAAATATATTTTTGTTGGAGAGGGGGTGACCCGGGCTCAAAGAATGCCCGTGCGTCAAGTGCAGGCACTTGAAAAGAGAGGATTCTGATGGCTTGCCAATTCCTAAAAGAACCTGGCTGCCTGGCACCCAGTAGGTATTCCACGAAACGCTGGTGGAACTCACGCGCACAGCAAACCAACTCCTATGAGGCAAGCCTGTTCTTCAGCTCTCCAGCAAATGACCGTGAAGCTGAAACGGCAACCAACCCAAGCCCAAGCCAACGCTCCAAACCTAACACACATCAACCCGAGCCAAGCTTTTCCACCTCAGGCCAAGCCAAACCCACCCACCCCCAACCCTTCCGGGCCAAACCCATGAACTGCCCGATACGCCCCCGGCTGCTGGTTGCCCCCGGAGGTTCGATCTGGGGCCGGCGCCCCGGCCCCACGCCGAAGATGTCCCGCGCCATGGCCAGCAACTTCTCCTCCAGCACGTCCTGCTGCCCGGCCCGCCAGGCCTGGCAGCGAGGGGCCCAGTTCCCGCTTCTGGCTGCGGGTGATAAGAAAAAAGGTGCCCAAACCGGATGGAACCCGGGTAAGCGGAGAACAAAAAATGCATGGACCAAAAACCTGGGGCCCCCTGGTGGTTCAATTTTGAAACCGGATGGAACCCGGGTAAGCGGAGAAAAAAAATGCATGGACCAAAAACCTGGGGCCCCCTAGTGGTTCAATTTTGACACATACCCCTCTTGTTGGTGTGCTTTTTCTTGCTCCTGGGCAATACGCTCTTTTGGTTCCCTCAGTTCAGTCATGCAACAATGAGGGCAAGGCTGTTTCTCAATGGCCAGCGGATAACACGGCACGAGTAAGCGGTGCTGATGCAAACGCCCAAACCGCCTGCAAACGCTCCCGCCTCATAGGCCCAAAGCCCGGCCAGGTTGCTGGCTGAGACTGTCAGCAGTGCGCAGCTGGCAAAAGGCAGCCCAAGGCCAATGCAGAGTAAATTGGTGGCAATGCCTGGCAGACCCAGCCAATGGCTTGCAGGGATGCCCCGTCAGCGTGGAATTCAAAACGACCAGTGCAAAGTCCCAGTTCCTGCCTGTGGACATACAAACTGCACGGTCTCTTGTGCGCAAGGGGCTGCTGAAGGGGGCAGATGCTACGACGGAGCCCCGTTGACGAGCTTGGAACCCAAACGACAAGGGCAAATGCACAAAAACGCATGCTCGAACCCGCCAGCACGTTCATCAAAATATCGGCGGCGCGCATGGCCGCTCCCCTGCTCGTGGATTGATGTACTATCATGTCAGGCCTGCGGTTGACACAGTGGCGGCCTGGCAGGGGCAATGCGCCGGTTGCACGTGCGACCCCTTCACACACAACAAAAATGGGCTGAGACTGCCACTGCTTAACAGCCGGGCCGCGAAAGATGAACTAGCCGACCTTTGCAGGAATCTTTGCCAGCATGTTGCCATGTTTGCATTTTGTCTGAAACCGCGCTTGGGCTTGGGTTCCTGGGCCTTGGACCCTTTTGAAATGGCAGTCCAAGCATGATGTTTTTTACTCGTCTACTTCAGCCGTACAGGCAGCCACGCCACAACACAACATGTTGCTCTCCCACCAACAAACATTGAAGTGCGCAGCCGGGCCTCTGCTCTTTCGTGATTGCTTGGCCGGAGGGCACCGAAACTTGAATGGCATTGACAAAGGCCTCTGGAAACTACGGCTACTCACGACCCAGCTGGTACCGGGCATTTGCCCACCCACGCGTGCGAGTGGCTTCCACCCCTGCTCACACCCGCTCACGCGCAGCACGTCAGAGCTGCACGCACGCTGGCGCATGTCAAGCACACCCGCTCACGCGCACCACGTCAGAGCTGCACGCACGCTGGCACATGACAAACACACCCACTCACGCGCATCGCGACAAGTACACCCGCTCACGCGCGTTACGTCAGAGCTCACGCACGCTGGCACATGAGAAACACACCCGCTCACGCGCATCACGACAAGCACACCCGCTCACGCGCGTCACGGCAGGGCTGCACGCACGCTGGCACATGAATGATAAGCACAGCCACAGGCAAGACGTCAGAGCTGTACGCACCTTAGCACATGACAAGCACACCCGCTCACACGAATCAACGTCAGAGCTGCGCGCACACTGGCACATGACAAGCACACCCGCTCACGCGTATCACGTCAGTGCTGCACGCACGCTGGCATATGACATGATAAGCACACCCGCTCACTGCCATGTGTGCTGACTTGGTCCAAAACAACGCATGTCGACCTGAGATTCAGCTGGCTTGAGTTAGTTGCCGAGATGTCCCACAACCCCACACACCAGCACACTTGTCAATCTGCCTGAGAATAGACGCACGACCTCTGAGGACATGCCCACCCCCAAAAAAAAAGCGGGTGACTACGTACCCGGCGCGTACTAAATACCGAGCACCTATGCAAACCCATCAGCAACTGCGCATCCTCCCCCACATCCCACCCCCCCCCCAAAAAAAAAAAAAAGGACAGCCGACACTCTCGACTCGGTCGGCCAGCACGGAGTTGGCCCGGAGCTGTTCCAGCGGCACCGCTCCCATGGAGTAGCGCAGGCACTGGGAGGCCACCAGGCCCGTAGTAAGCACTGCCTGCCGGCAACCCCCGCCATCCCCCCGACAGGTTGACCGCAGCTAGGCTTGAACCCATTTTGAAGGGGCGACACCTGCAAAAACTCAATTGAGGACAACCAACAAAATGTGCTTTTTCAGGGCTCTTTTTTTTTTGGGGGGGGGGGTGGTTTCAAAATGGACCCCAAGCCCATCCCCACGCCCCAGGCCATCAGCGTGGGCACCGGGTGCTGCAAAGCCGCCGCTGAGACGCTGGCCAAGGCGCCGCTGCCGCCGCTCGAGGCCAGCTGCAGCGCCTGCCGTCAGTCGCTTGGAGGCGAGCGTCGCCACTGGGAACCCCAGGTTGAATCCGGTTGCTGCAAGGCTGCTAGATCCATTTGGCGCAATCTATTTTCCCGCTCTCTCAAAGGCCGACAGCAGCAATCCACTCAACTCAGCAGTGCCGCATCCTGCCTTTTGCTACACCAAAGGCAGCAACTCGAAAAGGGACCCAAATCTGGCTGCAAAGATTTGGTAGCCGCAAAGGGCTCATCAGATACGGCTCTGCGGACCAACCCGTATGTTCATAGGCCTTGTCTGGCCCTCAGCGCGGCAACCCCAACCCACCGCTCTGCCAAAACCACCAAACCCGCGGCTTGGAAAGTTACAAAAGCCCCTAGCGCAAGACCTCCGCCCACAGGCAACTGTCAATGAACCCGCTTCGCAAATGGGAAATTGTGAAGCCCCCAAACGCAGCTGGCTTTTCATTGGCTTCTCCTTGAAACACCAAGATAGGATACCAGCTCGAAAAAGTTGCCCATTGGGCTGCCCGGTTGGGTTCCTCTTAGTCCCCCGTTAGGCACACAACAACCCAGGGCACCAACAAAAGAAAGGAGCCAAACCCTGCCTTGAGGACACCCTGGGCCGATGCCGTCACAATAGCTCCGTCCCGCAAATC